GTCTTCTATATGGTCCAACTCTCACATCCATACATGAGTACTAGAAAAACCACACTTTGGCTAGACAGACCTTTGTCGGCAAAGTAACGTCTCTGCTTTTTAATATGTTGTCTAGGTTGGTCATAGCTTTTCTTCCAAGGAGTTAGGGTCTTTTAATTTCATGGCTGCAATCACCATCTGTAGTGATTTTGGAGCCCAAGAAAATAAAGTCTGTCATTGTTATCATTGTTTCCCCATCTTTTTGCCATGAAGTGACTGGACCAGATGACATGATCTCAGTTTTCTGAATGTTGAGTTTTAAGCCAACTTTTTCACTCTCCTCTTTCATTTTCATCAAGAGGCTCTTTAGTTCTTCTTCACTTTCTGCCATAACGGTGGTGTCATCTGCATATCTGAGGTTATTGATATTTCTCCCCGCAATCTTGATTCCAGTTTGTGCTTCATCCAGCCTGGCATTTCACATGATGTACTCTGCATATAAATTAAATAAGCAGGGTGACAGTATACAGCCTTGACATACTCCTTTCCCAATTTGGAACCAGTGTGTTGTTCCATGTCCAGTTCTAACTGTTGCTTCTTGACCAGAATACAGGTTTTGCAGGAGGCAGGTAAGGTGGTCTGATATCCCCATCTCTTGAAGAATTTTCCAGTTTGTTGTAATCCATGCAGTCAAAAGCTTTAGCATAGTCATTGAAGCAGAAATAAATGTTCTTCTGGAATTCTCTTGCTTTTTCTATGATTCATGGATGTTGACAATTTGATCTCTGGTTCCTCTGCTTTTTCTAAATCCAGTTTCAGCTCAGTTCAATCATTCAGTCATGTCCGACTCTTTGTGACCCCATGGAATGCAGTTCGCGAGGCATCCCTGTCTATCACCAACTCCTGGAGGTTTCTCAAACTCATGTCCATCAAGTCAGTGATGCCATCCAACCATCTCATCCTCTGTCGTCCCCTTCTCCTCCTGCCTTCAATTGTTCCCAGCATCAGGGTCTTTTCCAATGAGTCAGTTCTTTGCAACAGACGGCCAAAGTATTGGAGCTTCAGCTTCAGCTTCAGCATCAGTCCTTCCAGTGAATATTCAGGACTGATTTCCTTTAGGATGGACTGGTTTGATCTCCTTGCAGTCCAAGGGATTCTCAAGAGTCTTCTCCAACACCACAGTTCAAAAGCATCAAAAAAAAAAAAAAAAGCATCAATTCTTTGGCACTCAGCTTTCTTTATAGTCCAACTCTTGAACATCTGGAAATTCTTGGTTCACATACTATTGAAGCCTAGCTTGGAAAATTTTGAACATTACTTTGCTAGCATGAGAAATGAGTGGAATTGTGTGGTAATTTGGACATTTTTGGTATTGCCCTTCTTTGAGATTGGAATTAAAACTGGTATTTTCCAGGCTTGTGGCCACTGCTGAGTTTTCCATATTTGCTGGCATATTGTGTGCAGCACTTTAACAGCATTGACTTTTAGGATTTGAAATAGCTCAGCTGGAATTCCAACACCTCCACTAGCTTTGTTCATAGTGATGCTTCCTAAGGTCCACTTGACTTTGCACTCCAAGATGTCTGACTCTAGGTGAGTGATCACACCATTGCAGTTATCCAAGTCATTAAGATCTCTTTTGTATAGTTCTTCTCTGTATTCTTGCCATCTCTTCTTATCTTCTGCTTCTTTTAGGTCCATACTGTTTCTGTCCTCTATCCTGCCCAATAATATTAATCATTATCATTAAGTATTTTGGGTTTCTCTGGTGGCTCAGATGGTAAAGAATCTGCCTCCAGTGTGGGAGATCTGGGTTCAATCCCTGGGTAATGGAAGATCCCCTGGAGGAGGGAGTGGCTACCCACTCTAATATTCTTGCCTGGATAATTCCATGGACAGAGAAGCCTGGCAGGTTACAGTCCATGGGGTCACAAAGAGTCGGACACGACTGAGCAAGTAACACACAGTAAGTATTTTGGTAAAAACTCAAGTATTTTCTGGTTGCACACATAGAAAAATCCATTCTTCTGTAACCATCAAACTTGACCTTCCATTCTACCATATTTTCTGAACCTTAAAACTTTGATAAAGTTTTTTCATATTTGTGAATTTTGTATAGGATAAGTACAAAAGTTACACTATCTAATCAGCAGATAGAAAACGACTATGAGAGGCAAAATAAGGCCTGGACGAATGGAGGGACAGGAATCTTAAGTCTCTTCACCTGGGTTTTTTAAATAATGACAAGAAAAAATGTTAAACATTGACAAGAAATTCTAAAGTTCATTTAGAAGAATAAATAAAAGAATAAATGAGTGATTTTATTTATTTATTCGTTCAGGTAAGAAGTGGATTTATTTAGAGAGAAACACACTCCACAGACAAAGTGTGGACCATCTCAAAAGAAGAAGCGATAAATGAGTCATTTTAGCTAAGAAAGTTTTGGAGAGAAAAAGGAAATCTGTGTATAAGGGGAGTGCTTACACTAATAGATATTAAAACATTTTCTGTCATAAAAATACCGACATAAAATTGAATTTGGGGAGGGGTGGTGTGATCTAAACATAAGGCAGAAACCATAGAAGCCTTTTACTTTAAAAGGAGTGTCCCCCACCCCCAAACAAAGTGAAATAAAACTAATTTCCCAACTTTTTTTTTTCTTGAGGTACTGATTTACAATATCATATTCGTTTCAGGTATACAGCATGGTGAATCAAAGTTTTTATAATTTATACTCCATTTATAGTTATTATAAAATATTTGCTATATTCTCTGAGATCTACAATGTATCCTTGTAGCTTATTTATATCTCTGTAGTATATCTACCTTTATCTTGCTCCTCCTTCCTTCCCTCTCCTTATTGGTAGCCACAAGTTTTTCTCTGTATGTGTGAGTCAGTTTCTTGTTATATTCAGTAGGTTGTTTTATCTTATGTTTTATATTTAACATATAAGTGATAACATAACAGTATTTGTTTTTCTCTGTTTGATTTATTTCACTAAGCATAATATCCTCTACGTTCATTCAGATTGTTGCAAAGGGTAACATTTCATTCTTTTAAGGCTGAGTAGTATTCCACTGTTTATGTACACCACAACTTCTTTATCTTCTTTGTTGGAGGTCACTTAGGATGCTTCCCTATCGTGACTATTGTAAATAATGCTGCTAAGAACATTGAGATGCTTGTATCTTTTTGAATTATCTTCAGATGTATACCCAGGAGTCAATTTCCCAACTTTTTAAAATGAACAAACAGAAAAGTGGGCAAAGGGACATAAGCAAATTCACAAAAGAGAAAATACAGTTAATAAATAACTACATGAAAAACAAGTCAGTTAACTAGTAATTTATGAAGCAACATTCAAAACAATAAGAAAGAACAACTTTAAATTTGAAAAAAGTCTGTATTTTCAATGATATGGAAAAAAGGGCATTTCTCATGAGAAAACCAATAAATTTTTCTCAAAGATAGTTTAGAAAACGTTTGAAAAATATACTTTGCCTTTGACCTGCCAGTTCCCCACTTCTAGAATTTTTAAATCAGGCATCTGCAATAAAATATGAATCCATGATACAGAAAAGTAGAAAATGTATGTGCAGTTATGTTGCAATTAAGAATCTTGTTATAAAAGAATATTTAATAGGACGGAAGAAAATTCACAACATTGTTAAGCAAAAAAGGCAGAATACATCTTTGTAAGGCATTACCCCAACCTCAAATAAGCATAGATAAGCCTAGAAAAAATGCCCGATGATATGTATGTTATTGTTCAGTCGCTAAGTCGTGTCCGACTCTTGCATGCCAGGCTTCTCTGTCTTCCACTATTTCCTGGAGTTTGCTCAAATTCATACCCTAAAGGATTCCTGACGGTGATATATACCAAGGCATTAAATGCAACTGGCATTTTACATTACATTTAATGTAAATGTATGAGGTAAGTATGAGAAATCTGAGTATTTTATTTCCTATTAATGCAACAGATTTTGTTTTAAGAATAATTGTACAGGAGAACGGATACATATATGCGTACGGCTGAGTCTCGTCCACCTGAAACTGTCACAATCTTGTTAATCAGCTACACTTCCCAATACAAAATAAAGTTTTTAAAAAATTGTACAATTAGAAAGTTGCCTGTGTTGAAAAGCCTGAGTACGTGAAACGGTCCAAGACTAGAAAACCCAGTAAGTGTTTCGTTGGGAAAGCCAAGGCCACCTGCTAGACGGTGAGTCAGGGACGCAGACTCGCACCTGCCTCCGCATTCGCCCTCCGGATGCGGTGCGTTTCCAAGCGCAGCGCCCTGAGTGCCAGGACCGCCCGCGCCCCGGGTCCCGCAGCCACGGAAGCCGGGGCGCCTGCGCTCGGCTGATTTCTGGAAGCGAGGGCAATCCGTTTTCAAAGTTCACCCCATCGGGCCTTTCCTTTTCTCCAGCTCTGAACTACCCAGAAGCCGACTGTCTCTGGTCAGCCATAGCCCCAGCCGCAGCTCAGCCGCTGCGCTATTCAGGTTCTGCAGCGCGGCCAAAGGTCCAGGTGGCCGGAGAACCGGAGGGGGGCGGCCGGGTGGGGTGGGGATCGAGGAGCGCCCTCGCCAACGCTCGGGCCAGCGAGGCCGGGTCTCGCCGAGTGACCACGGTCCGGCCACGCGGTCGCCCAGGGACGCGCGCCCGCCGGGAGGGACAAAGGGTCGGGGAAACCTGAGCCGGGCCCGACCGGGAAAAATCCGGCCGGTGGTCGCCATGGCAACGGAGTCGGGCCCCCGAGCGGCCCGCGAGGGGGCGCTGGGGGCGGGAGAGGGGCCCTGCGCGGCCGGCCCCGCGGCCCGCCCCGCCCTCCGGCCGCGGCCGCCGGCCCGAGCCCGCGACTGACCCTCGGCAGCTCCTGTAGTCACGTGGCGCTGGGAACCGGCGGGGCGGGCGGGGGGGGGGTGCTGGGCACGGGCCTGGCGGTGGTGAACCCGAACCTGCTGGTGTCGCCGCGGCGGGGTGGCGAGCGCGGCCGCCGGCGCCGGCTTTCGGGCCTCATGGACGCGCGACGCGCCTCCGGGCTCCCCGGCGGAGAGGTTCGTCCCGGGCAGGGCGCGGGGTTCCACGCGGGCCCGTGGTGGTGGTGGCGGCGGCGGCGGCGAAGGCGGGGGGGGTGGCCTACCTGCGGGGCGCGTGACCGTGTGCGCGTTGTGTTGGGGGGTGCACTGCTGGACCGAGTCGGGGGGCGAGTCCGCGCACCTGCGCGCAGGCTCCGCGAGCCGCGCTCTGCGTGGGGACCGGAGAGGGGGGGCCCCCTTCGGGGAGCGCGGAGCCGTGTGTCCGCGAACGTGGACGGGGGCGAGGGGGTGGCAAAGCACATGCTTGACTACAAAAGGGGGGGGTGTTGGGGGGTCTGCACGGCCCTCTGCCACCCGGGACGCGGCAGGGGACTCTGCCCGAGTCCTCGTCACAGGAGCGTGCCTGGCAGCCCCCCTGGGAACCCGGCCTGGAATTCCTGTCGGGAGGAGGGTGGGGGAAGGGGAGCCAGCGGGGATTTCAGAGTTCCTGCCCTCGGCCTGGGGACCTTTGGCCATCAGCATGGACAGTTCGTGCTGTGACCTTACCAGGGGAGGAAGTGAGCCTCCAACGCAGCCCCGGGCTTCCTTTGTGAAGGGGGCACGTTCAGTTATTAATCCGATGGCCACTGAGGTCACTCTGCCCAGCGGGGTGCCGGGGTGGGGGAGGGGGCCTTGGCTGCGGAGGACACAAAGATGACTTCCCTCGGGGAGCGCTGAGCCTCACGCACGCGTCCTCTCCCCTCCCCGCAGGTAAGGCTGGCCTCTCTGCCACCGGAGGTCTGAGCTCTGCCATGGGGGTAGGGGTGTCTTTACTGCTGCAGTTTTCGCTGACATCCGGGGGCTACCCGAGTGTGGGCCGAAGCAGGCGCTCCAGCCGCAGAAGTATCCCCGGGAACATCCCCAGGAGGAGCTGGGCCAAGCCTCATCTCCAGCTCCACAGCCTCCAGGGTAGAGTGTGGCCTTCTTTGTTGGGTTCTCGCACCATTTCGTGGCCCCAGTGCCCCGCTGCAGGGGGGTGGGGGGTTGGGGGGAGAAGGGGGACCGGGGTCGGGGGGAGAGAGGGAATGTTTCACGTTCATCACATCCTGGGAGTCTTCCCAGGGCTCAGTCTGGCCGCTGGGAATGAGTCATGTCTGTGCTCCTGGAGAGGAGTACAGGTTCGGGGGAACTTCGGGGGAACTTGTGAGCAGGCAGTGAAGGTCCCTTAGGAGTCTCATCACCACCCCATCTGGCAGTGCGTGTAGGAGACTCCCCCGCAGGAGTCTGGGTTCTCCCCGTTTTGGAAGAGCTGCCCGTGGGGCAGCCCCTGGCGGGGCTGGGGCAGGCCGGGACAGGGGACAGAGATCACAATCTCCTCCTTCCTCCCCTTTCCGTGCCCCAGTAATCCCAGTCCCCCGAGGGAAGGCAGCGAGTCAGGCTCACCCCCGAGGGCAGCAGGCTGTGGGTGTTCTTTGGTTTCAAGAGCGCTCTCCTTCCTGCAGTGTCCTCATCACGTGCGGGGGTGGAGGAGGGCAGGCGGGCAGAATGCGGGCACAGTCTGGGCAGGCAGTGGCCTGGCGTCGCGCTGGGCTGGCAGTAGTATCCGGAGCTCTCTCCTGCTCCGGAGAAGGGGCCGGTCTCACTGGCTCTCCTGGCCGTGGGAGGCTGAGGCTGGGGAGGTCAAAGTGCCTTCCTAAGACGGGCTTAGATGAGAGCCCGCGTCCGGGTTCTGCTGTAGGTTTACTCTGTGCCTCCCGGGGCAAGTCCTGTCACCCTGTCGTGCCTGACAGTGGCTTCTTCCATCAGACAGGGAGTTCGTATCTCTTGTCCAGCCTCACTGAGTTGCTGCGAAGCTCAGATGTGACAAGAGCAAATAGTAGAAACAAGTAGAGGGCGGCAGGGAAGCACTTGGGAAAGCATATAAAGCGCTGAAGGGGGAGGTGACTGCGTGTTTTGGTGAGTCCCAAGGCAGCAATCTATGTGCAGCCAGCCCTGGCGTGTTTACTCCATGCCGGAGGGGGATTCAAAGAAGGGTCAGGGTTCTTCCTTCTAGTCGTTTCCAGGGCCAGTAAAGACTTAACAGCAGATTTACTTGAAATGCTTTCTAGAAACCCAAGATGGAAATAACGTAATAGGAGGAAACAGAAGAGTAGTATAGTGGTCCTGATTCCAGAACTGGAGGAGTGGCGTAGTGGAGGGGGGCAGGCTCCTCTTGGGTCCGCTGGGAGGAGCTTGTGGGCAGTGGCGGGGGGGGGGGGGCAGGGGGCGCAGGTTGTGTGGTTCTCCCAGCGTGACTGTGCCTTTCCACCCTCAGCAGAGGAAGAACCGATGCTGGAACGTCGCTGCAGGGGCCCGGTGGCCATGGGCCCCGTCCAGCCCCGCCTCCTTTCTGGGCCCTCCCAGGAGTCGCCCCAGACTCTGGAGAAGGAGCCCCAGGGGCTGAGGTCGCGAGGCACCGCCGCGGCCCAGTCGGGTGGCCAGGCCCTAGGTCGGGCCCATCGCTGTGCCCACTGTCGGAGGCATTTCCCCGGCTGGGTGGCCCTCTGGCTTCATGCCCGGCGCTGCCAGGCCCGCCTGCCCCGGCCTTGTCCCGAGTGCGGCCGCCGCTTCCGCCACGCCCCTTTCTTGGCACTGCACTGCCAGATCCATGCAGCCGCCACCCCAGACCTGGGCTTTGCCTGCCACCTCTGCGGGCAGAGCTTCCGAGGCTGGGTGGCCCTGGTTCTGCACCTGCGGGCCCACTCGGCGGCGAAACGGCCCATCGCCTGTCCTGCCTGCGAGAGACGCTTCTGGCGGAGAAAGCAGCTGCGGGCCCATTCGCGGCGCTGCCACCCCCCGGCCCCCGAGGCCCGGCCCTTCATCTGCGGCAACTGTGGCCGCAGCTTCGCCCAGTGGGACCAGCTGGTGACTCACAAGCGGGTCCACGTGGCCGAGGCGCTGGAGGAGGCGGCGGCCAAGGCTCTGGGGCCGCGGCCCCGGGGGCGTCCGGCGGTGACCGCGCCCCGGCCGGGCGGGGACGCCGTCGACCGCCCGTTCCAGTGTGCCTGCTGTGGCAAGCGCTTCCGCCACAAGCCCAACCTGATCGCCCACCGCCGCGTGCACACGGGCGAGCGCCCGCACCAGTGCCCCGAGTGCGGGAAGCGCTTCACCAATAAGCCCTACCTGACCTCGCACCGGCGCATCCACACGGGCGAGAAACCGTACCCGTGCACCGAGTGCGGTCGCCGCTTCCGCCACAAGCCCAACCTGCTGTCGCACAGCAAGATCCACAAGCGCTCCGAGGGCTCCGCGCAGGGAGGGCCCCAACCGCCCGCCGGCGCCCCGGAGCGCGCCCCGGAACCCCCTCCGGAGCCGGCCCCGGAGCCAGCTGAGGTCTCCGCTGGGCCTGGGCCGCCGGGCGCCACGGCGGAGGCCCCGCCCTCCCTCCACACCTGCACCGACTGTGGGCGGGGCTTCCGGCTGGAGCGCTTCCTGCGCGCTCACCAGCGGCAGCACGGCGGCGAGCGGCCCTTCGCGTGCGCCGAGTGCGGCAAGCACTTCGGCAAGAAGACGCACCTGGTGGCGCACTCCCGGGTGCACTCGGGCGAGCGGCCTTTCGCGTGCGAGGAGTGCGGGCGCCGCTTCTCCCAGGGGAGCCACCTGGCCGCCCACCGGCGCGACCACGCACCCGAGCGGCCCTTCGTGTGCCCGGACTGCGGGAAGGCCTTCCGCCACAAGCCCTACCTGGCCGCGCACCGGCGCATCCACACCGGCGAGAAGCCGTACGTCTGCCCCGAGTGCGGCAAGGCGTTCAGCCAGAAGTCCAATCTGGTGTCCCACCGGCGCATCCACACGGGCGAGCGCCCCTACGCCTGCCCGGACTGCGACCGCAGCTTCAGCCAGAAGTCCAACCTGATCACCCATCGCAAGAGCCACATCCGGGACGGCGCCTTCTGCTGCGCCATCTGTGGCCAGACCTTTGACGACGAGGGGAAGCTCCTGGCCCACCAGAAGAAGCACGACGTCTGAGCGGGCCGGGGCGGCGGAGGCCGAGGGAGGGCGGGCCGGGCGTCGTTCACACTGTGCCCTCTGCTGCTGCTGTCGGCGAGGGGGGTGGCGAGGTGGGGTGAGCCGGCCCCGTTAGGGAGGGAGGTCCCCCGCTGTAATCAGGGAGTCCACTTGCAGAGCAGGGACCCCGGCCTCCCGCTGGTGTTTGCTAAGGTTCGGTCCAGACTATCCTGTGCCCTGGAAAAGTAGCAATAGCAGCTCCACCCACCCCTTAGAGCCCTCCGGCCGGAGGGGCCACCAGTGGACAGGAGGACCCCTCTCCTCTGGTGTTAACGCCTTAATGTCCCGTCTCTTATTATGAGTTCCTTTGGCTCGTTTTTTTTTTTTTTTTGCAAGTAGGTGTGGTTCAGCCCTTAGTCAATGAATGCCGGGGAGGATCAGTGGAGCAGCTGGACACACCCGGAGAACCTGCCGGCCTTGTTGGGCAGCACCCGGGCCTTTTCCAGTCCTGGGAGGCAAGGCCGAGCTCCTCCAGCCTCCCCCAGCCGGCCCCTCGCTCCCGCTCCTGCACAGGCATCCAGATTTGGAGAGACCCGTCTACTGTTAGTGCCGTGGCTCCTCTTCCTCCCCCGAAAGATCGGTCCCCCCCCCCCCCCGCCCCCCGCCCCCAGAGCATCTTCCCACGCTGCGACTGCCTTCATCCAACCACCCTCCCAGCACTTAGAGCAATCCCATGGCTGTCAGCCGCCCTGTGTCAGGGCTTTTGTCCGAACACCCCAGCCCGCCTTCACTCCCTTCAGAGCTCAGCACATTGTGGGAAGGACTGCCCCATTGATAACGGAAGGCCAGCTGATGGGAACTGGGGGTGTTTCCCTTCCAACATTCTAGCGTGTGGATCCCCAACCTCTGCTTGAACATTTAGGTGACAGGGAATCTCCTAAGGCCCTGGTTCTATTGTAGGATAATTCTAATTGTTAGAAATTCTTCCTTATAATGAAGTCCGCTTCCCTGTAATTTCTACTGTTGGGCCTTGTTTGTTCTCTGGAACTAAACACAACCACTAACCCTCCTTTTCCAACTAGAGAATAAAGATCTGGTTTTAGAGTTGGTGGCTGGAGGTGTTCATTTGTCCTGGGGAGCTGTGGGGATGGAGGGGGTTGGCAGTTCCACACCACCGGGGGCTGGGATGGGTGAAGGCTGGGTTCAAGCTTCGCTACTACCCCTGGCTGTGACCCCCCCCCCCCCCCCGCCTCCATTTAGGGTCAGGCACCCTCAGCAGGTGGGGTTTCTCCTCTAGGAGTCCAGCTCTGTGTGGGGTCAGATCAGCCCCGCTCAGTGTCAGCCATTAGGGAGAGAAGGTCTGACCTGCTGTTGGCCTGCCGCAGTGCTCATGTCTATCACTGTGTCTGCTTCGCTGCACCGGTTGATTCACATGCATTTGAGTGCCTGTTTTTGACAGGCTCTTCTCCTGACTGTCTTACTAGTTTCTGCATAGATTTCCAGCACCAAACACAGAGTGGTGCAACCACCATTTGTCTATATGACTTGCACCTTGCAAAGAAGTTTACCTAAATTATCTAACAACTTAGAGTTCAATAGGTACTCGGGTTTTTTTTTTTTTCCTTTCCAGATGAAAACATTTGCTTAAGGTCATATAACCGATAATCACCAGAAGCAATTCAAACATGGGTCTGTTCAGCCCGAAAACCATGCTGTTGACCACCGCTGCATGTTTATTAGACAAATGCAGTGCTGCTGCTTTTGGTGTAGACAGGTACTACATGTCTATGGTGTGCTTGATGCAGTGGAAGCTGGGAGTTTACAAAAATAAGACCCAGTCTTACCCCTAAGAGGCCTCAGTTGGGAGGACCTATTCCTATACAGAGATTGTGAATAGAGAAAGATGGATGTGGGGTGGGGTGGGTTCTAAATGTGTAGGATGGAAGCAGACAACTTCAAAGTTTTTTAGAGGTTTATGGGGTTATGGGGCCACTTCAAAAACTTGTGTCACTGAGGGCACATGATCTCTCGGAGCCTAGGAACATGGTCTCAAGAAAGCCCCACCTAAATATGTCTTTTTAAGGGAGCTCAGGGCTTCCCAGGTGGTACAAGTGGTAAAGAATCTGCCTGCCAATGCAGAAGGTGCAAGAGATGCACATTCCATCCCCGAGTCAGGAAGATCCCCCAGAGAAGGAAATGGCAACCCACTCCAGTATTTCTTCCCTGGAGAATTCCACGGACAGAGGAGCCTGGTGGGCTACAGCCCCTGGGGTTTCGAAGCACTGGACTTGACGGAGCGCTCTCGTGACTGAACATGCACATGACTGAGAATGCACATGCCATGTCGGGGAGCTCTGAGCTTCAAGGGAAGGGAGCTTTTTTTGCGGAGTGATCAGGAAAGTAGCTAGATGTCTGAGGATGATGGCAGGAAACAGGTCCTCAGGGTCAAGGGTTGGGATGGGGTGACTGGGGAAAAGGATGAAGGAGAGGGAATGTGATCAGGTTCCAGACTTCCTGAGAAGTCATTACTTGGAAATGCCTGGCGGTGGTTCCCCTAGAAACATGCCTGCCCACTGCTTTGGGGCAGAGGGTGAGGAGAGGACCAAAGTTCGGGGAAAGCCACGGAAGTGACCTTGAGGGGGCAAGGACAGAGTGAACTTGCCCATGGCTCCTTTCCGAGTCCCTCCGGGGGCCTGGTGGGAGCTGAGTCCTTGCTCAGCGGGGCGCATGCTGACAGCAGGCTTCAAGGAGGGATGGCCCCACTGGAGGGGGTCAACACACTGCTAACAGGACCTCCCCTTCTAAAGAGTCCAGGTTTTTTTCCCCCCTCCTTCTACAATTACAAAGTATTAAATTATCAAATTTAACAATGAAGAGATACTTAGGTTTATTTTATAAGGTGAAAATTATCCTTTACTTTCCCCCACTCCAGCACTCCTCTCCCCCCTAACCCCGCCCCCCCCCCCCAACCCCTCACCCCGTGGCTTTTCTCTCTGCATCCAGTAAAGAGTGCAGGGGTGGCTTTCCTGACATTTTCCCTGTGCCTTCACAAACACACATGTGCAGCCTCCCTCTTGTTTTCCGTCAGGGAAAATAGGATCCCAGATGTGCTTTGTTGTTTTCCACCCTTGAAGCAGCCTTGGTCATGAAATGTCCATCTGGAGGAAGTCTTTCACTCTGTTGAAAGAGGGAGCAGGCCAGAGAGTGGAGATGACTTTCCCACACACAGCCAGTGGCAGAGCGGAACCAAAACACAGGAATTCCGTAAGTCTTGGTTGAACTTTCCCCTAGGCACTCTAGAAAATAAGATGATGGAGACTCTTCAAAGGGTTGATAACCTAGTAATGGATAGGGAGGCCTGGCGTGCTGCAGTCTATCGGGTCGCAGAGTTGGACATGACTGAGCGACTGAACTGAACTGAACCTAGGGATGTCTGGTCACTGGGTAGGGTTTTACACTTTACAAATACTTCTGTAGACAGTAGAACCAATAAGGGTCCTGCAAAAGCCCAGGGTCTCTCAGGATCCTCAGGGGATTATTTCCAGGACTCCCCTGGATAGCAAAATCTTTGGATGCAGGAGTCCCTTCTTTAAATGGCATTGCATTTGCATATAACCTTATGCACTCATGTCCTCTTGTATAAATTATCTCTAGATTACTTATAATACTTAATGTAAATGCTATATACAGTTGCCTGCGCCCGGGAAAATGCAAATTTTGCTTTTTTGGAACTTTTTTTTATTTCCGCCTGCATATTTTCATTGGGCTGTTGGTTGAATTCATGGATGTGGAATCCGCAGATGTGGAAAGCTGACTGTAACTAGGAAATTATTAACTCTTACAGATGAATAAGTCAAAGTCCAGGGACAGAAAGTATCTTTTGTTAAAAAAACAAAACAGAACAAAACTCACACGAAGACTGGGGCAAAACGTAGAATCTTGGGCTCCGGGTTCCTTTTGTGATATGAGGCTAAAAACAGCTGAGCCTGCAGGCAAACGCTTAGTAGACAGTTGCTGACTGATTAGAGTAAGATCCAACGGTTTAACAGTAAGGTTTGTAGGAAGTCTCAGAGTGAGGCCGGCTTTTCTCCGTATCAACCTCATGTCCCAAAGGCGGTTTCTAAGCAGTTCCGGAGAGAGTGTGCCCGTGGGAGTTGCCCTAGCTGGCCAGCCCGCTTTGAGCTGGCAGTGAGGAATTTTATTGACTTTATAAAAAAGGAACATTTCCTTCCGATCAGGGTGGGTAGATGAGAAAATCCTCTCCTCTGAAGGACTAAGGCCGTGCTTGGCCATCTGAACCCTGCCTCTAAATCAGCAGTCGCACTCCACCCAGGAACGTTAAGTCACTGTTTCCTCAACTGCAGGGCGAGGGGTTGGATTTAATGATGTCTAAGTCTCTCCTGGAAACCCCGGGGTCATTTATCACGCGCCTACGACGTGCCTAGGGCCGCGCGTGTGCGGAGGGCTCTATCTTTCTGGTCACACGAGACGCGAACATCTCTAACACCTGGTGTGCTGTCGTGCAAAGTGCCACCACCATGATACATGCACACTCGAGTGTGAGCTTCGGAGCGGGCTCCGTGTGTCTTTTTTTTTTTTTTTCCCTCCAGATCCCGGCACCTAGGGCGGTGCGGCACGCGGCTGGCGTCGGGCCGAGTGGCCCAGCGACTGGATCGGTTTCAGAGCGCGCGTCTGCGGGGCAAGTACCGGGAGGGGAGAGCTCGGTGGATGGGAGGAGCGGGTGCTGCGGCACCGTCAGGTCACCAGTCACCCGGCGTCGCCCCATCCCCCCTTCCCCATTGGGAGACCAGAGCCCTGCGCCCGCCTGGCGGCAAGCGCTTTAAAGTCAGGCTGGGCCGGTGCCGGTTTCACTGGAAGCGGGGTCACCCGGCCCGCC